CTTTGGGAGGCTGAGGCGGGCGGATTACAAGGTGAGGAGATGGAGACCATCCTGGCTAACACGGTGAAATCCCATTTCTACTAAAAACACAAAAAATTAGCCGAGCACTGTGGCGGGCGCCTGTAGTCCCAGCTACTCAGGAGGCTGAGGCAGGAGAATGGGGTGAACCCGGGAGGCGGAGCTAGGAGTGAGCTGAGATCGTGCCACTGCACTCCAGCCTGGGCGACAGCGCCAGACTCTGTCTCAAAAAAAAGAAAAGAAAAGAATGAGCTTCCATCCCAGGGGTAACAGCACCTCCAGGGCACTCATGAGGTCGGCCTGTGACCTTTGCTTTTATTGTGGTAAAATGCATTTAACATAAAGTTGATCATTTTAACAATTTTTTTTTTTTTGAGATGGAGTCTCACTCTGTTGCCCAGGCTGGAGTACAGTGGCACGATCTCAGCTCACTGCAACCTCTGCCTCCAGTGTTCAAGCAATTCTCCTGCCTTGGCCTCCTAAGTAGCTGGGACTACAGGGATGAGCCACCATACCCGACTAATTTTGTGTTTTTAGTAGAGACGGGTTTCACCATGTTGGTCAGGCTGGTTTTGAACTCCCAACCTCAGGTGATCGCCAGCCTTGGCCTCCCGAAGTGCTGGGATTAGAGGCATGAGCCACCGCACCCAGGCCATGTTAATGATTTTTAAGTGCACAGTTCAGTGGCATGAAGCAGGTTGACGCTGTGTAGCTGCCACTGCCATCCATCTGCAGAGCTTTATATCTTCCCAAATGTCAACCGACCCCGTTAAACACCAACATCCACCCCACCCGCCCCGGGCACCCCACCCGCCCCGGGCACCACCATTGCACTGGCTGTCTGTGGGTTTGACGACCCTGGGGACCTCACACATGGGCTCAAACGGTATCTGAACTTCTGTGAGGGGCTCATTCCCTCAGCATCAGGTCCTCAGGGTGACTGTGTGGCCTCCGGGTCCGAGCTGCCTTCCATTTCCAGGGCCACTGACGTCCCATTGCACATACATACCACATTCGGGGCAGGGGTTACGTAACACATTCGTCCACCCTCTGGCCGTTGTGAAAAACGCTGCTGCAAACGGTGTGACCTGTGACCTTTTAGACACTGGACTTTCCCAGCACAGGCAGCTGCCTGTTCCTGGGCTGAGCAGGGCCCTTTGATCTGTCGGGCACATCGTGCTCCATTTGGAAACGAGGGCTGTGAACTTTGCAAGGGCCTGTGAAAAGGTTTGAGACCAGAAAAATGTTTTTCCTGGTTCCAAGTACAGGAAAGATACTGTAAACTTCAAATTTAAAAAAGTTATAGGCCGGGCGCAGTGGCTCACACCTGTAATCCCAACACTTTGGGAGGCTGAGACAGGTGAATCACGAGGTCAGGAGATCAAGACCAACCTGGCTAACACAGTGAAACCCCGTCTCTACTAAAAACAAAAAAAAATTAGCCGGGCATGGTGGCGAGTGCCTGTGGTCCCAGCTACTCGGGAGGCTGAGGCAGGAGAATGACGTGAACCCAGGAGGCGGAGTTTGCAGTAAGCTGAAATCGCGCCACTGCACTCCAGCCTGGGTGACAGAGCGAGACTCCATCTCAAAAAAAAAAAAAAAAAAAAAAAAAAAAAGTTATAGTTGTGATTCAATTTAGCTTTTATGTAGTTACATTAAAAATTATATTTAGAACGGGCACAGTGGCTCACACCTGTCATTCCAGCTACTCAGAGGCTGAGTTGGGAGGATCACTCGAGCCCAGGAGGTTGAGGCTGCAGCAAGCTGCGATTGTTCCACTGCACTCCAGCCTGGGCAACAGAGCAAGGCCCTGTCTCTAAACAAAGTTATATTGAATAGGCTGGATATGACCGGAAACACGGCTTACTAAGCTTGCCCGATGGCTGGGGATGTGGTCATTCATCTTGGAAAGTGTTGACATGACTCATTTGGGATCGGGGCTCCAGGATCAGGTGAGAGGGGCATCTGAGACCTTTGACCTTTTACTTCCTGTGAGGGAGGCAAAATCAGTTCCTCACTTTGTGATGCTGACATAGTGGCAGGGAAGACAGGAGGGAGTGCTGGGAGCGGGGAGGCTGCCCAGCTGCAGGTAGAGGTGTGGGTGCAGGGACTGCTCATGTGCGGAGGACACTGCTGGGGCTGGGCTGCCCCTGCGATGGGGATGGGGGAGGTGGGCATCCATATTTGGGTTCCTCTGACTGGTCTTGAGTTGGAAGTGGGGTCACTGACCGAGCCCTGACCTGCTGTGGCTTCCCCAGCAGGCGGCTATAGGCTGTGGCCAGAGCTCCACCTTTCCCCTGAATGCACGTGAGATATGAGGAATTTAAGAAAAATAATAGGCCGGGCGCAGTGGCTCAAGCCTGTAATCCCAGCACTTTGGGAGGCCGAGACGGGTGGATCACGAGGTCAGGAGATCGAGACCATCCTGGCTAACACGGTGAAACCCCGTCTCTACTAAAAAATACAAAAAACTAGCCGGGCGCGGTGGCGGGCGCCTGTAGTCCCAGCTACTCGGGAGGCTGAGGCAGGAGAATGGCGTGAACCCGGGAGGCGGAGCTTGCAGTGAGCTGAGATCCGGCCACTGCACTTCAGCCTGGGCGACAGAGCGAGACTCCGTCTCAAAAAAAAAAAAAAAGAAAAATAATAATCAAGGGGATTCAAGAGACAGAGACAGAGAGAGGGAGAGACAGAGATGAGAAAGACAGAAACAGAGAGAGGGAAAGACAGAGAGAGACAGAGAGAGGGAGAGAGAGAGAGACAGAGAGAGGGCCGGGCGCGGTGGCTCAAGCCTGTAATCCCAGCACTTTGGGAGGCCGAGACGGGCGGATCACGAGGTCAGGAGATCGAGACCATCCTGGCTAACACGGTGAAACCCCGTCTCTATTAAGAAATACAAAAAAAAAAAAACTAGCCGGGCGAGGTGGCGGGCGCCTGTAGTCCCAGCTACTTGGGAGGCTGAGGCCGGAGAATGGCGTGAACCCGGGAGGCGGAGCTTGCAGTGAGCCGAGATCGCGCCACTGCACTCCAGCCTGGGCGACAGAGCGAGATACCGTCTCAAAAAAAAAAAAGACAGAGAAAGGGAGAGACAGAGAGAGGGAGACAGAGAGAGGGAGAGACAGAGAGGGAGAGACATAAAGAGACAGAGAGAGGGAGAGAGAGGGAGAGACAGAGAGAGGGAGAGATAGAGACAGACACAGAGAGACAGAGGGAGAGAGAGGGAGAGACAGAGAGACAGAGAGAGGGAGAGACAGAGAGACAGAAACAAAGAGAGACAGAGACAGAAAGAGACAGAGAGAGGGAGAGACGGAGAGACAGAGAGACAAAAAGAGAGAGAGGGAGAGACAGAGAGAGACAGAGACAGAGAGACAGAGGCAGACAGAGAAGAGACAGAGATAGAGAGACAGGGAGAGACAGAGACAGAGAGACCCTGCCCAGCCCCAGCGCAGCCATGAGTGATCAGTGATCTCACAGCATGGGGTGAGGGAGCCGAGGGGGAGGCCGAGGGTGGACTTTCTTTGTGTGGACTTCATATTTGCCCTTCATCTTACATAACGAATGGTTTATCTTGTTAGCGTGAGTGGTGTTCGTTTTCTATTTTCTGGTTATTTATGGCCATCATGGAGAAATCGTTTTGAATTTTATGTTGATCTTGGTCTGGACTCTCCAGTCACTTCTCACGATTTGTGGAGCCTACTGGGTTTTCCCGTATGGCTTTGGAACCTGGGAGGAAAAGAGAGACTCTCCTAATGATGTCTCCGGTCTGGGCCCTGCTGGAAAAGTCCCAAGGAAGGGTTCCTGCTGTCCACCCTGTCCTGGGCCGGTCACTGTGGCGGGGGCAGCGCTGTCCGGGCGTGGGGCTCACAGTGAGCATGGCTGGGCCACCAAACACACGCAGGGCGATGCCACTGCCTCATCTGATGCCCGCACTGCTGCGCGACTGGGCAGCAAGGGCCCCTCCAGGAGGGACCCCAGGCTGAGGCTCCTGCTCACGCTCACAGCAGGTGCTCACGTTCAAATTCATCAGGGGCACCATCGTCCGCTGGGAAAAGGGTTCTTCAAAATCCATTTTTCACGTTTTGCCTTGATGTGTTAAATCCATTTTCCATGCAGTGCTAAAAAGAAATGGGTCTTTATGCCACGAAAATCCACAGAGGAACCTTAAATTGCACTTTACTCAGTGAAATAAGCCGACCTGAGAAGGCTAAGACCGATTCCATCCAAACAGGATTCCGGAAAAGGCAAAACCAAGGAGACAGTGAAAAGCTCAGTGGCTGCCAGCAGCTGGGGAGGGTACAGTGGGTTTTTAGGGCATTCAGTGTCCCCTCTGCAGGATACTGAAATGGTGATTCCGTGAGAACGCACTCACCCAAACCCGCAGCAGGCACACACCGAGCGACCTCGTGTGAGCTGTGGATGTCAGGTGATGACGGCGCGTCCCTGTGGGTCTATCAATGGTGACAGATGCGTCACACGAGTGCAGCATTATAATAGGGGAAACTGAGGCAGGGGAAAGATGGTGACATATGAGAATTATATTGTCTGCACTTTTTCTGTAAACCTAAAACTGCTGTAGAAAATAAAGTCCGCCGGGCGCGGTGGCTCAAGCCTGTAATCCCAGCACTTTGGGAGGCCGAGACGGGCGGATCACGAGGTCAGGAGATCGAGACCATCCTGGCTGACACGGTGAAACCCCGTCTCTACTAAAAAATACAAAAAACTAGCCGGGCAAGGTGGCGGGCGCCTGTAGTCCCAGCTACTCAGGAGGCTGAGGCAGGAGAATGGCGTGAACCCGGGAGGCAGAGCTTGCAGTGAGCCGAGATCTGGCCACTGCACTCCAGCCTGGGCGGCAGAGTGAGACTCCGTCTCAAAAAAAAAAAAAAAAAAAAAAAGAAAAAAAAAGAAAATAAAGTCCATTATGTTTTTTAAAGTCTGTCTTGCAAGAGAAAGGAGCGGGAAGGGAGTAGGGATGCCAGTGCTAGGCGCCAAGCAGCACAATCCTGGGTCTCCGCAGGTCCACGTGCCCAATGGCTGGCCCAGGGTGGACGATGCTGCTACTGCTGCTGCTGCTGCCGCTGGGGTCCTTGGTGGGGTATGGGCTGCAGAAGCAGCAGATGAACCTGTCCCATAAGGTGGGTGCCAGCGGCCCCTGATGCCCCTGCAGGGGCTGCCACCTGCCCGCAGGGGCTGCCACCTTCCGTCAAGAGGCTCTCAAGGCCGGGCGCGGTGGCTCACGCCTGTAATCCCAGCACTTTGAGAGGCTGAGATGGGCGGATCATGAGGTCAGGAGATCGAGACCATCCTAGCTAACATGGTGAAACCCCGTCTCCACTAAAAATACAAAAACTAGCCAGCCGTGTGGTGGGCGCCTGTAATCCCAGCTGCTCGGGAGGCTGAGGCGAGAGAATGGCGTGAACTCAGGAGGCGGAGCTTGCAGTGAGCTGAGATCCGGCCACAGCACTCCAGCCTGGGCAACAGAGCAAGACTCTGTCTCGAAAAGAAAAAAGGCTCTCAAAGCGACACAAAGCGTCTTCCTGGATGAAACCCTCCCGGAGGCCACACTCGCTCTCCTGGCCACACCCCCAGCTGTGCTGCCTAAGCACATTTGAGGCTATGGGATGGTGACCCCAGCACCAGGAGCAGCACTGGGGCCACTACGGCCACGGTCAACCAGGCAGGAAGGAGCAGAGCCGCGTGGGAGCTGCACTGGTGCACACTTCTGTTTTTTGAAATATACCCATTTTTCTTTTTTATTTTATTACTTTTTAAATTTGTGTGTGTGTGTGATGAAGCCTCGCCCCATTGCCCAGGCTGGAGTGCAGTGGTGCGATCTCAGCTCACTGAAACCTCCACCTTCCCAGTTCAGGCGATTCTCCTGCGTCCGCCTCCTGAGTAGCTCGGCTTACAGGCTCCCGCCACCACGCTTGGCTAAATTTTGTATTTTTAGTAGAGATGGGGTTTCACCATGTTGATCAGGCTGTTCTTGAACTCCTGACCTCAGGTGATCCACTGGCCTCGGCCTCCCAAAGTACTGAGATTACAGGCATGAGCCATTGCGCCTGGCCAGAAAATATACCCACTTTTAATAAGGTTGTTATTTATGTTAACAGGCAATGGGATTCCTATTGTTATCTTAAAATTCTCTCAGTTTTAGGGTCGAATGCAGTAACGTCAGTAGACATAGCCTCATCCACAACACTCTTGAGCAAGCAAGACCAGAGGTCGCACACACAGTGGTGCCTTCTGTGTGTGTGGGTGGGGGGCGGGCCTGGCTGTCAGCTCGCCTCTGCTGGCTGTGTGATCCCGGGCGCCGTGCTCGCCCTTCCTGAGCTTGTTTCTTCTGTAAAATGCCAGGCACTGGGCCGGCCCGAGAACTTCGCCCATGCTCTACTGCTGCATCCTTGCCCTCAGTGCCTTGGTTTACCCTCTTCCGCATGGTTCACGGTAGACATTCCCTTTCTCAGCCCTGGGCCCCCAGCACTGACCTGCCAGAGCCACGGCAGTCTGGGTTTGTTCCAGAAACTTCTCAGGGAACCCAAGTTTGAAGGATGATGACACAGAGGAGCCAGAGAGACGGGAGGCCCTTCCTGAGTACTGGGTCTGCAGGCCCTGCCCAGGAACAGGTGAGCGAGCTGGTGAGTGGCATTTCAGGTCATCGGGGAGCCATGCAGGAGCCATGACGAGTGCCAGAGCAACTGCTGTACCACCAACAGCCTGGACCCACACACGCTCTGCACCCCTAAGACCATCCTCCTGCAGTGCCTGCCCTGGAAGAAGGTGAGGTGCATGCGGGGGGTGGGGGGCAGAGGAGCGAAACTGCTTGTGGCCCCCTCCCACCTGCCCCGGAAGAGCCAGGGAGTGGATGGTGGGTGCAGGGATGAGGCGTCTCCTGTCCCATAGCCCAACGGGTACAGATGCTCAGACAACTCAGAGTGCCAGAGCAGCTGCTGCGTCCGCAACAACAAGAGCCCGCAGGAGTTCTGCACATCCCAAACCATCTTCCTGCAGTGTGTGCCCTGGCGCAAGGTGAGCTGCGGGCACCTGGGGCGGATGGAGCAGGGGTAGCAGGAGATGGCCCCTCTCCACGACCACTGCCTGGCTGCCTCCCCAGCCCAACGGCAACTTCTGCAGCAGCCACCAGGAGTGTAGCAGCCAGTGCTGCATCCAGCTGAGGGAGGACAGCCCCTTCCGCTGCATGCCCCGCACCGGGATCCTGGCCCAGTGCCTGCCCCTGGTGAGTCCCGGGTGGGGGCTCAGCCTCCAGGCCCTCCCCTGGCCGTAACAGGGAAGTCACACAGAAACCCAGCAACTGGGCCAGGTCCGGGGCCGTGAGAGGTGGGCTCTGAACTCATGGGGCGGGCAGAGCACTCAGGCACCCCAGCTCGGAAAGGCTGGCGCTTCACCACCCATCTCATAAAGTGAGGGCCACAGAGAAGGCTCCTGGGCTGGCACTGAGCCCACCAGGCCCCGCAGGGCACGGGTGCCCAGTCAGAGACTGTCAGAGCCTGCGGGGCTGCGGGGAGGGGGACCCAGGACCAGCCCCTCGTAGGAGCCGAGGTTGAACGTCTTCAGGCCAGAGAGGGAACGAGCCCTGAAGGAAGAGGGTCCTCGCTTCTCCCCTCCCTCCCCCTGACCGCTGCTGTGGTTTTCCCTGACGAGAAATCCATGGGATAAGCCTTGCGGTGCAGGCTCCGACTCTGCTGAGCCCTGGGGTCAGGGGAAGGGCCAGGTTGCCAGCGGCGCAAACGCTGTGGGGCGCAAGTGTGTTTGCTGGAGCCCAAAGCTCCCATGTGGGGTGAAAGGGTCCCGGTCCCCACAGGTGAAGCTTGTTCACAGCCCTCGGTACCACCGGGCCCCGTCGTGGGCGCTGGGAGCAGCTCCGGGCGTGTGGCGCTGCTCGTGGGCGTCCCTCTCGGGCGCTGAGCGTGGGCGTCGGCCTCCGGGTGCTGTCCCGGCCCCCACGAGGCTGGCGTCGGGAGATGCTGTGTCCCAGCCACAGGCGTTCACGTCCTCCTTCCGCAGCGGCTTCACGGCGCGTCCCCCGCGCGTCTCCTCAGCTTCGGGCCCCGTCCCCCGCGCGTCTCCTCAGCTGCGGGCCCCGTCCCCCGCGCGTCTCCTCAGCTGCGGGGCCCCGTCCCCCGCGCGTCTCCTCAGCTGCGGGCCCCGTCCCCCGCGCGTCTCCTCAGCTGCGGGCCCCGTCCCCCGCGCGTCTCCTCAGCTGCGGGCCCCGTCCCCCGCGCGTCTCCTCAGCTGCGGGCCCCGTCCCCCGCGCGTCTCCTCAGCTGCGGGCCCCGTCCCCCGCGTCTCCTCAGCTGCGCCCCGTCCCCCCGCGTCTCCTCAGCTGCGGCCCCGTCCCCCGCGCGTCTCCTCAGCTGCGGGCCCCGTCCCCCGCGCGTCTCCTCAGCTTCGGGCCCCGTCCCCCGCGCGTCTCCTCAGCTTCGGGCCCCGTCCCCCGCGCGTCTCCTCAGCTTCGGGCCCCGTCCCCCGCGCGTCTCCTCAGCTTCGGGCCCCGTCCCCCGCGCGTCTCCTCAGCTTCGGGCCCCGTCCCTCGCGCGTCTCCTCAGCTTCCGGCCGGTCCCCCGCGCGTCTCGTCAGCTTCCGGCCGGTCCCCCGCGCGTCTCGTCAGCTTCGGGGCCCGTCCCCCGCGCGTCTCCTCAGCTTCCGGCCAGTGCCCCGGGCGTCTCCTCAGCCTCGGGGCCCGTCCCCCGCGCGTCTCCTCAGCCTCGGGCCCCGTCCCCCGCGCGTCTCCTCAGCCTCGGGCCCCGTCCCCCGCGCGTTTCCTCAGCTTCCGGCCCTTCCCCCGCGCGTTTCCTCAGCTTCGGGCCCCGTCCCCCGCGCGTTTCCTCAGCTTCCGGCCCTTCCCCCGTGCGTTTCCTCAGCTTCGGGGCCCCGTCCCCCGCAGGTTTCCTCAGCTTTGGCCTGTCCCCTGCACGTTGCCCCAGCTTTGCCTTCTCCTTCAGTGACGTGAGCTCCAACCTGGGTGTGAGGGACCGACCTGGGCCCTGGGATGTTCACACCGGACCCCGTTGCTCTGGGGCTGGCTCCAGTGGAAGCTTCGCTCACTGTTCCTGCTGCTGTTTCTGGAGCTCTGAAAATCTGTGGGAACTGAAAGGCAATGACCAGCCTGGTGGCACGAAGTGTCTGAGAACAAATCCCAGGCACTGGGACATGTAACCTGATTGTTAAACATCAATAAAGGCTCCTGGAGGACCGAGTAGCCGTGTCTCACCCCTTCTGTGTTTTGAATAATAAAAGCGTAAAATCTGGAGGAAACCTGGAGGTCACAGAGAGGTGGTGTCTGCTGGGTCAGTGCCAGAGCGGCCTCCTGGGAAGCCTGGGGAGGCACAGGCCGTGCTGTGGGAGGCAAGGCCAGGGCCAGAGCCTCGGGTTTGCTGTCACCTCCCACCACCACAGGGGTGTCGAATAAACGGGTGCAAGCCCGTGTGGACACTGCAGGTGAAAATCGCTCCCTCCCTGTCCCTGGCACGGTCAGTGCTCAGCACATAGGCACCCACGTCCGGGATGCAAGCCCAGTCCCTTTCTCCTTCCCCTGGCCCCAGCTGAGCTTCTGTGGTCACTTGCCTTCCCCTCGGGGGATCCCTGGTTCAGGCCAAGAACTCTTCTGGCTGCTGACTCCCGAGAGCAGCCCTGGGCTCTGTGTGGTGGTGGGGGAGGCTGGGGGGTGTTGGGGGAGTGGGTCCCTCTGCTTCGTTTGATTTCTGATTCCATCTGCTTGACGTTCCCCGAAATGCCTCCATCCCCAGCCCACCCTGTCCCTGCCATTTTCAGCCTGGGCTGTAGTGTATTTGTTTTTGTCTTGTTCCCAGTCCTTCCCCAGCACGTGGGTCTTCCTTTCCTAAGTAATTATAAACAATCTCCATCTCTGCAACTGCAGGACTATCTGAGGCTCCCCCTGGAGAGACTTGTGGGGCAGGAGCACCTGGCCGCGGTCGACTCTGCACACCCTGAAGTTACATCGTTTTGGCAACTTCCTTAAGAAAAGGCATATGACATTATGAACACACTGTTAGGCCTAAAACTGAACATACTTACAGTGAAAGACCCAGCACACCATGAGTGTAGGAAGCTCACACAGGCAGCATCACAGACAGAATTGGAAGCTCACACAGAAAGCATCACACACAGAATCGGAGGCCCACACAGGAAGCATCACAGACAGAATCACACGGCACGTTTTTTACCCTAAAGTTCCTGACCTCACAGCCTCGGATTACTTTTACAAAATGACAATTTGGTAACGTTTTCTATGGGAGAATGGAAAATCAGCTTAATCTTCCCACTGAGGGGGCTGAGCCACGTTTTCTGTGGATAAGAGTTGCTCAGGTATGAACCTCCTGGGGCGTGTGTGGGCGACAGACACAGCCGCCGTCAAGTGATTCCCATAAGAAGTCAAAGCAAACCTCTATCCTGATTAGAAGCTTCTGAGAACTGAATTTTCCACACACACACCTCTACCTGTCTGACACCGTCCCCACACCCCAGCGTCTAGATCCGGAATCTTCAAACAGGACATATTGGAGACACCATCAGGCCCCCGCCTTCTTGTTGATGTCAGGTGAGTGAGCCCAGCATGGGGGCCGTCCCTATGCAGGTGAGCTGGGGTTTGTGGGCCGTCCCCACAGAGGTAAGCCAGGGCATGGGGGCCGTCCCCACGGAGGTGAGCCAGGGAGTGGGGGCCGTCCCCACGGAGGTGAGCCAGGGCGCGGGGGCCATTCCCACGGGGGTGAGCCCAGCAACACTAGGGAAAAGCTTCCTCAACTCGCCTTCCCCACAGGTAGCTCCTGGCTGCTTGGCGCCCCTCTTCCCGCAGAGATACCAGAAGTGCACGCGGGCCGTGCCGAGTGGAGACAGGTCTTGACCCAGTACAGTGAAAAGATCTTATTTTCCCAAACTTCACAGAAACATTGACCGTGTGTTTGTCAGAGTCAGCTGAGGGCAGACGCCACACCAACATGGGGACGGGGGTGTCTAAGGTGAGGGGTTGCGCGCTGGTTCCAGGAGGAGCAAAGTGAGCCCAGGGTGGATGCAGAAGGGGTTCCCTGCCTGGCGCTCGGGAGATGGTGGGGCCACAGCCACTGGTTTGGAGAAGCTCTCTGGGTTGAGGCCAGGGGCCCATGGCGGGGCCAGCGGCACTGTACGCTAGAGGGAGGCACCTCTGGGTCCTCCCAGCCAGGGGAGTGAATGAACCAGGAAGCCCCAGCTTCGTCCACCATGGCAGAGGGGCTGCCTGTGAGCAGTTCCAGAACCATCCATCAGTGTGAGGCTGTCGGCCCCAGGATGCGGACGATCCCCCCACTCTGTTCAAACCCCTCGAATCCTGTTTCCTGTCATGTTGGGTCAACTTCACTATGAATTTGGAAGTCTAAGAAAATTACAAAACGAAACAACATCGTGAAAGTGAGCATCAGATGCCACCGTGCCTGAGTCCGCCTGTCCGTTCTTTCCGCACGGGCACCCTCTCCCAGCTGCTGCCTGGCCAATGTGTGGCTGGAGTCCACCTCTGCTCCTTGGGGACATGGCCTTGCTGTGGACTGAGTGTGTCCTCACATTCATGGGTTCAAGCCCAGAGCCCCAGTGTGACGGGACTGGAGTGGGGTTCTGGGAGGTGACTGAGGTTTTGATGAGGCCGTGAGGGGCCTTGTGAGAAGGGAATTCACGCCCTTGTAATAAGAGGCTCCAGGTGACCGCGGTGGTAAACAGTCACACACTGTGAGAAAAAAGAGACCACAGAGCGAGCGTGCCAGCTCCCCCTGCCCTGCCCACCTGCCGGGGCAGGACTCCCTGGGAAGGCAGCTGCCTGCAACCCAGAGGGGGCCCTCGTGGAGCTCGTCCTGCTGGCACTCAGATCTCAATGTCATTGTTTTAGCTGCTGGGTCTCTGGGGTTCCGCAGGGCAGTCCAAGAAGGCTGAGACAGTGCTTATAGTGAAATCCTGAGAAACCCTTGCTTTCCACCCTAGTAGAACAAACCAGATACGCTGCAAAATGATCGTTGTTATTTTGACCACTCATCCTCAAGTTCTAACAAAATGATAATTTTTAAAAGAACAGAATAGGTAAATGTAACACATCAAACTTGAAAGCATCTGGAAGAAGTGTAGGTCCCAGCACTTCAGGAGGCTGAGGTGGGAGGACTGCTTGAGCCCAGGGGTTTGAGACCAGCCTTGGCAACATACCGAGATTCCATCTCTACCAAAAATACCAAACTTAGCTGGGTGTGGTGGTGCGCACCTGTGGTCCCAGCTACTAGGGAGGCTGAGGCAGGAGGATCACTTGAGCCCAGGAGGTCGAGGCTGCAGTGAGCTATGATTGTACCACTGCCCTCCAGCCAGCCTGGCAACAGAGCAAGGCCCTTCGAGAAGAAAAAAAAAAGAAAGAAAGGAAAGAAAAGAAAGGGCCAGGCACAGTGGCTCACCCCTGTAATCCCAACACTTTGGGAGGCCAAGGTGGATGGATCATGAGGTCAGGAGATTGAGACCATCCTGGCCAACAAGGTGAAACTTCGTCTCTACTAAAAATACAAAAACAAAATTAGCTGGGTGTGGTGGCGGGCGCCTGTAGTCCCAGCTACTCGGGAGGTTGAGGCAGGAGAGTGGCGTGAACCCGGGAGGCGGAACTTGCAGTGAGCCGAGATCGTGCCACTGCACTCCAGCCTGGGCGGCAGTGCCAGACTCCGTCTCAAAGAAAAACAAAAACAAAAAAAACAAAAAAACAAATACAGATGTGAAGAAACACAGGTAACATTCCTAAGAGCACAAGGCACACACGACACCCAGGCTGAGCCTCCAGGGCTCTGGGAGACGGGGCCGGGCAGAGAGCGCCTGGTGCATGGGGGCCCCGGAGGGCAGGGGCTGCGGGTGGAGACAGTCACACGTGGGAAGCCACCGGCCTCGCCCCAGGGCGTCACGCTCAGGGGAAGGCCCAGCTGCAATGATGTAATTGATGCATGCAGGGAAAGTTTCAGGAGAAAGAGGTTTCACATGGGTTCAAGCGTCTTCCCCTCAATGCTCAATTACAAAGTGGGGGGCAGGTGGCCAAGTGCAGGTCAGGACCAACGCCTGATGGGACAAACTGGC